ATATTTTAAGCAGTCTACTGATAATGTTTCCAACACTTATGTTCACTTTTGAATGATCACACATATTGAGGGAGTTCAATTTAACCATTACTATGATATCCAATATTTTTTTGAGTGAATTACAGAACTGCTTGAATGAATAGTCTTTGGAGAGGTTACTAATCAACAGTATGTTTCCACAGCTGCATGAAAAATTATTCGTCCCAAAAAGTGTGGTGGTGGAGCATCCTACTGTATATGCACTGTGCATAACAGCTGATGCTACACCTATTCTGTCTTGTCTATCTAATTAAATGGATAGTCTTATGAAGTATGTGGGAAAATGCACACAGCAGGATCAGAGAAAACCAGTGAGATGTTAGCATGAGATGCTGGCCTGCTAAGAGATTACTGAAAAGTAATGCAAGCTGGCATCTTTACACATGCTGGGAAACAGGATTATTATTGTAGTGCAAAATATATGATTGCATGAAACAGAATTTAAATTCCAAAACAATATCTGTACAGTAAAATCAGAACAGAAGAATACAGGAAATGGAAATTCAGGTAATCTACACTAGTAGATAAAATATGATTGCCTTAATTCTTAATGGGATAATGCTGGAAAGGCTCTTCAGTCTACGATGGGGGTCACTGTATTTCATCAAGGCACAATTAATACTGAGAACTACTTCAGATTCAAAGGTTAAAGCTGACTATTCACTACTGATTACAGAATGTTAATGAGAGAATCTTCTAAAGCAGTGCTTCTCAATCCTGGTCATTTACTGTATATCCCCAGTGTCTTCTTGTCTTTGCTTCAGGCAAGGTCTTAACTACATTACAATTCATTTAAATTTTCTATTTGAGCTCTTTTTAAATTTGCTTTCAGCTCTTTAAAAGCTGGTAATCGTAATTGGTATGAAACCTGTGCTAATTAGTGAGTTTCAGGACTGCCCCAATTCAGGTGTGCTAGCTGAAATATAACCAAGTGGACACTGACCCACAGTGGGAGATGTCTGATACAGTGTCATTACCTCATGTGTCTGTTCACCATCAGCTGATTACCTATTAAGAGCTGTTTAGTCAGAAATAAGAAGGCAAAGTTGAGAACAGACTGTTCCAACAATCAATTAGGACATAGGTAGTATCCATTGAATGGAGAGACACCCAAAGAAGGCTCCACAGCCGAAATGCTGTGATTCTTTCCTTCGCTTTTCAGCATGGAATAAACCTTTACTTGTTCCACCGAATGGAGAATTGCTAATGTAGTAATCATCCATATAAAAAGGTTAAAAAAACTGAACCAATGAATTACAGGCCAATTCAAGTCTGACTTCTATTACGTGTAAGGTAATGGAAACAATCATAAGACTTAGAAAATCACTAATGGTTTTCCCCAGTTGTATACAGGCCAGATAGATGTGTGAACGCTGACAAAAGTTACACAAGAATCCATATTGAACTACCGTTTCATAGTAGTACACAGCAGGATCATTTACCAGCTAGCGGCCGCCATGGAACATAGTTGCAAGGTTCTCCAGGCTCATGCACCGGCCGTCAGTCTCAAACTTTGGAACCAAATCTCATGGTCTCACTCCTTGATCTGAAACTGGTTTGGTTCATTTGCATTTGCAAGTATAGGTTACTTAAGAAAATGGAAGTGATGAATGTAACATTTCGAAATTGTCGTGAAAACTCAAGATTCTGTTATCAACCAGTGTTTCTTCTTGAACATGAATAAGATCGTCTCCTTCCTGCGTTCACATGGCTTTTCTCTCCAGTCCAAAGACATAGTGGTAGGTTAGTTGGCTTCTGTAAAACTTTCCCTGGTGTGAGTGTGTGCGTGTTTGTGTCTATCTGTGCCCTACGAGGAACTGGTGTCACAGTCTTGGATGAACCATGCCTTGCACCCAATGCTTCCCCGGATAGGCGCTAGGCCACCATGACCCTGAATTGGATAAAGCAGTTAGAAGATGGATGCAGTAGTTCAGGTGGGTAGTTGTGTCAGCATGCATAGGCTGCAAAGGAAAAAGTAATAGGTTTATTCCATGCAGAAAAAGAAAAGAAAGAAAACACAACGTTTCGGCCGTGGAGCCTTCTTCAGGTGTGTCAGAAGTTGGATGGATTTATTGAAATTCTCTTTCCCATAGTAAGAGTTCTCACTATTACTTTCTACTGGCAAAATTTTTCCTGAAAGATTACTATGAGGCGCAAATGGCTCTTGGTAAGGTATATTTTAATAATGTATAGCCTTTGATTGAAATACTTGATAAACTGAAGCCGGGTCAGGCTATCTAAATGCCAAAAATAAAGGCTTTACCAATGCTTGTAGCTACTGAACCATGCAATGGAGGTGTCCTTTACTGCTAAACATACTGCAGATTTTATTTGAGTATTGTTCATATTTTTAATTTGAATACCTTGAACACTTTCCAAAAGCAGCAGCTTGTAAAGTACAATTAATACAATGAATCACATCATTAAAAATTCTAAAACCTGTTCTAAGAAAACAATATAATAAGGGTTCGGCTCATTTTTCTCATGTGGTAGTTTAATAGCTGAAGTGACCTCGAAAAGTCTTGACGACAATGTCACAACTTGTGTTATTAGTTTGTTAGTTTTCACCAGTGTATATGTAAGCCATTCATTGTACAGCAAGTTACAAGTAAGATATGCATGCTAGAATATTTCATTACTTTATGTCTATGCTTATCACGTGGAAAAATACGCTGTCATTAAACAGCAATTCCTGAGAATGTCTGGTTGAGAAAAAAGCTTCACATGTAAGCTGGTAATTAAGTATGAAAAACATTTTAGTTCACTATGAGTAACTGTTTTAAGTATTCTTTAATGTTTCTTATTTTACTGCAGTTTATATGAAAGCGTCAAAGCTATTTTCTCTTTAGGTTGCAGCACTGAAGCTTACATAATTGTATGTAAGCCTGTTAAGGCTTAGTCAAGAAGCTCTTGAAATGTGTAAAATACAGCTTATCACTATTTACAATATCTTTTTGTTTGTCACCGTTATAGAATGCTCTGAAAACGTATTCCGCACCTTTCCATAATGTCTCATTTAGTTTAATCACAAACAATACACAATTTTAAGTGAATGTTTTCACTTGAACTAAACATTTTTCTAAGTGAAAAAAAAGTAACAGTCACCAACAACTGCCAACAAAAATCTAAATTTCAATATGTTCATTGCAAAAGTATTCACCACTCTTGAATCAATACTTGATGGAAGCACCTTACAACTGTGAGTGTGTTTGGTTCAGTTTCTACCAATTTTACATACTGGGAGGTGACCAATCTTCCACTATGCGCCACTCAAAGACAATCATTTTCTTCTTGTTAAGCCACTCAGTGTAGCTCTGGCCATGAGCTTTGAATCCATGAATACATTTGCAAGATACTGTATATATTCATCAGTTTGAAGCGCTTCACTATGAGTTTTTCTTTTTAGTAACTTTCATTATATCAGGTCGAAAATGTGTGGTCTCATAAAGCTGTGGACTTTAAGACAAAATTGTTTTAATAAAATCTTGGGACACAAGAAATGGTACTATATCACTGGGTTTAGATACCCTTAATGTTTTGCAGTAGTTGTAAGACACCTTATTCCCACAGTTCTTAGGGAACCTTCTATCCATTGATTTCTTTGAGGAAGCCCTCTGAGCTGACTTTGTCAATGCCAGGATTTTGAAAACCCCTCATCATATCCCCTCGTCATCCTCTCTGTTCAGAACTGAAAAGGTGAATTTCCTTCAGAGCGTCAGTATAGGACATTCCCTTAATCCCTAAAAAGTACCTTCTCTGGACTGATTCCATAGCAGCAGTGTCTTCTCTATAATATGTTAATTAACCATAATGGAAGATAGATGGCTTAAAAAGACCTTCCTTCACCATTTTCATAACATTTACATTACTTTTAAAAATTACTGAGATTATTGATTAGTAAGCATTATAAATCTAAAAAAAATAACACACCTAATCCACACAGCAGAGGGGATGTATTTTAAAACATTTCAAGCACAGCAATAACAAATCAAATCCAAACAGAAACTGTGAGTTTGTTAGCGTTTTAGCAGAAATGCTTTAAATCCAGTGTGAAAGTAACATTCAACAAGGCACAGATCAATACAGTCAAGTCAATTTTTACCAAGGATTCATTTGTAAATTCCCTTCAGGACAGAAAAATTCACCTAAGCAGCAGTTTGCAGGTGCAGAATAATTATTGTATTTGGTGAAAGCAGAGATGTCCTCAGGTGATGTGTAGAGAAAAAAATGAAATAGGTCTGCTACTTAGTAAAGAATCAGGAGACATTTTATCATTTTGCAAAATGGGTTTTTAAATTGACAGTTGAATGAAAGCTTATGGTTAATTAACACCACTTATAAATATTTGAAAAGAATATTTTTTCAGAGAAACCGTAAAGACATATAATAATATAGAGATTGCATTCCTGAAAATGTCTAACGGTTAGATAGACATAAACCCAAATTAAGTTGCAATTTTAAGGAAGAGAAGTCATTTCTATAATACAACACCTGAGATGTCTTTTCAGGGGTATGCAGTTAATTGCAATCACTATGCCTCCACCTTTCTGAACATAATGACAGGTTATGAACATAAAAGGCAGTAAGTTTCTAATTACCTTTAAACCGTACTATGAGTTGAGGATAAGAATAAAAAAAGCATAGGGATGTCAGCACGAAAACACATTAATAGCTGAAACTGCACAAAAAACAGCCAATTTTATTTGGCACCTCATTAACTGTGTCTTAAACTCTGATATACAAGACCTAACAATATACTGTCATCACATTTTTAAACATGCTGTATATAACACATGAAAATACCTTTGCACAGCAGATTATTATTTTTAAACTGAGACAAGAAAAAAATAACAAAAATAACAATTTATTCTATTCTTATTATAATAGTACTTAACGAATAGTATTCATTAAAAAAGGGCATACAGATGCAATACTGGCGCACATAGTGTATGGTCACTTACCTTGAAGGTATTCATTGTGCGCATTGAAAATGGGAGAGTTTCATTGCTGGCTGATAGTAGTTGCATCACATCATGACAGGTCTTCACAGGCAAGGTTAAAGGATGTACACCAATATCTTTATCCCAGGCATCTATAACTCTGCAATGAACATGGATGTGTACGTGTGCTGTTAATGAAATTTAGAACATATTCTGCACAGTAAAAATAAATACTACCAACATGTCTCTGAGGCTTTTTCATAAGACAATCTTAATTACATCTTCTGCATTTCAATGTTTTATTTGAAAAAAATAGTGTACTGTATATACAGTACATATATGTATAGTAAAATTAATTGTATAGGAATTCCTTCATATACTTTGAGTCCACATCAAAACATTTTTGAAAAACACATAATTATGTTACATATTCAAATATATTTCCAATTCCCAATAAGAGGCATAACGGCATTAAGAAATGGTCACATACATGAAGATTGTAGGGACTCACAGCTGTGATAAGGCAGGCATGGTTGCTTAACCATATAAAAAAGGACACAGCTCCTTTTCACACAACAAAACACCTGGGAAATTATCTGTTTATAGGTTTCATATTTAATAAAAATCTAAGACACAGGGAAACGTGGAATAGGGATTGTGAAATTGCTGTCCTATTGATAAATGTTCTAGCTTCATAGACTAAATCTCCATTATCTAATATTCCTGAACCTTAATTGTACTTTCTATATTCCTTATAAAGGTTAAACAGACACCTTAATCAATGCCTTTCTGTGAGGATAATCTGACAAAGCAAGTGAAAATCAAATTCTTTACTCAAAATATTAACATTTCCCTTGGTTCTACGTCACTAACCCTCATTTTTGTTAATTACAGTGCTGCTGGAAACAAATCTGAAAAAAAAAAAATCAATTGACCTGCAAGGAAATGAAGCATTATAATACATTATTCTTCAAAGAATTAACAGCATATGAAGAAACACATGGGAGACACGTTACTTCCTGCATTAACAGAAACTGTCACATTAAATGCGTATACAGTATCTCAAACAAACTAGGTTAATTTTTAAAAGAAAAACAATTTAGATGGTAAAGGGACTGAAGAATTATAAATACCATAGGCTCTGTATCAGAAGTACTGTACTTGTTACTGCATCAATACTTCAACATAAATTGTTTCTTTTTACATAGAATGATATCTGTTACTTTAAAGAATCATTTTTTAAAAATCTGACGAGTTACCTGAGCAATCATTTTCATTACAATTCCAGAAATCCTAAAATATCAATGAGCAATGTGCAGCCTGATGTCACCTCATGAAGATCATGCACACAAAACATTCTAAGGTACAGTTTGATCTGTATGCCTGTGTAGGGTTTGGTATGAACTTGGCTTTCTTCTTTTTTCACTACTCTTCATTCACACAATTTTGGTTACAATTTTTGTTTTTAAGTTTTTAATTTTTGAGTTTAATTTTTTTACCATGTTCAGAAATCTCCATATGAGGACATAAAAAACACAAGATACAAAGACTAATGATGACTCAGGTTGCACAGGTCTCTTTTTTGTGCGAAGACACACCCCTGTCAAACAAGGCCCGTGACATCATTAAACAGGGGCAATATGATTGGACAAAGGCAGAGAACCAGGGAAATGCTGTGTTACGACACTGATACAGTAATATCGCCAAGGGCACCTGCTTTGTGTGTTAGATATGCAGAGACAAGCTGAGAAGTGAACCCTGCCCATAGGCCTGACTGCTGCTGCCTCACAAAAACTTGAGTTGAATGCAATATGGTAAACATCAGGCCATTGAAAATGCATTAACGATGCAAGGCTGTGCTTGAAGTCTGCATTTTGGTGGAAATTTCAGATGGCTGTATTGATTCAATTTTCAAAAAATCCTAATTTTCCATTATCACTCCAAGGTTAATTATTTAGCTGACAGCCTTGATTTAACGTGTTGAGAAATAAGAATTTTAAAAATGTTATATCACTGTCTTATTTTCCATTAGTGTTTAATTAATAAATGATTTCACCTTATGTTAAGTGAGATGTTTGTTTATAAATAACTAAATTTGTCATTCTTATTTTATGACCCAATCAACTAATACAATGACCTTCTGGTAATTCAGTATAATTAACTGTCCAATTTGGCAATATGTTTACTTACCAATTATGCTTTATACCCTGAAAAATATAGCTGTAAGTGAGAACCAGGCTAAGCTCTCATGAACTGAATTAGATAGATAGATACTTTATTGATCCCATGAAGGAAATTGCAGAATTAATCCATAATCTCAAACTTCATATCTTTCCTCATGGATGAAGAAAAACTACACTGATTCTTTATTTTAACTTATATTTAATTGTTTCCACTTAACTTCATAAATGATGAAGACTCGTTTCAGTCATTATTTCCCTGGATGTGGTATTGAGTGGATGATATGTCATTTGGTCTTAATGTGCAATAGGGAAACAAAGTAATACAGCATGTTGTTTTACAAGCACAATACACTATAAATGTAGGTTCCAAGCAAACATTGCAGATCTTAGCAACAGTATGTGGTATAGAGGAATAAGGGTTGTTGTGCCACTGCAAATGAAATAAAAGTAGGTTATACAGTAAGTGATGAGCTGATTTAACCTACTTAAAGTCAAGCCTTGTGATCAATAAAGAACACACCTTTGTACCTCTGTTACATTGAAGCTTTGAATAATTCATCATGTGTCCTTCCCAGCAATGGAGCCAAGTACTCTTTAGCCATTAATCAAACTTTTGTGTAGAGCAGCCTGATTTGTTTCTTTTCACAAGAAAAAGACACAAACATGTGTTGTAGAACAATACACTAATTACTGCTGTGTAGGAAAAAACAGGTCTAAGTGTGAGGTCTCTACAAAACATAATCTGCACTGATCAATGGAAACCTGACTTCGTGGTGATACACTAATCAACTTCTGCTGTTCCTGTGGGCTCAGCCTGACTGGAAAGGATTCCTGCAAGACAACACAGATCCTCCTAGTGCCAGAGTTCTTGTGAGAGCTTGTGCAATCTGTTGTGCAATGAGGGCTCAGAGACGATGACAGAATCTGCAACCCAAAAGAAATCTGCAACCCAAATGTTAACACTGGCCACACACACTAGCAACGTACCAGATTCTTTAAAAGTTTCTGTTGTGCTTTATTTTCCAATTTGAGAAATCACAAATACTTGCAGCCAAAATAACCCATTCAGCCCTTTTGTACTTTTTCTGAAGGATTTTTCCCATTTGCTTTTAAAAATGTTATTTCAGGCCAAATTTAACAACTTAAATTAATAAACCACCATCCTTCAACAGCACAGTCAAAACTAGTTATCACACTTGTGATAAGTATCTTATAAAAGACCTTATACTTTTTTAAGCTACCTTATATATCAAATTAAAATAATATCTTCACTCAGTCCAACTGGCAACAGTTTTGAGAATTGAAAATCATGATTTTCTTCCTTTTTTCACCTTATGCAACTTCAGTGTTCATTAAGACTGGTCTCTATTTTATTATATCTTTTATCTTGAAGAATGGCTCTACTCATGTAACCCCTTTGGACAATACAATACACTACATTACTGTGTTCAAACCTTGAAATGCAATGGCGTAAACATATCAAACACAGGGAGTGGTGATGTAGATGGTAAATTACTTCAAAGAGAGTTTTTAACCCAACATTGATGGCAATCCTTTAGATCCAATCAGTTCTTCCTTTGCTTAACATGAACCATATGGCCAACCTTGAGGCAAGTTCTTCTCAGATGGATTTTAATATAGTCATTATATCCCCGTCATTGCAAAAAACATAGGTCATTCTTCGTACAATTTATCATTCCCATGTCAATGATTGGCTCACTTGCCAAGTTATATGCTCTGGTGCTTTCACGCCAACAGGAGGTCTCCATGTCCAGATCCGTTCACCGTGATCAGGTGGGTTTCATTAAAAGGTAGCTGGTCTCTAATAATGTTCACTGCCTGCTCCACATTATACTCCTGACTTAAACATTGTCTCCCCCAGCAACGTTCTTTAATTAGATTCCTGGAAGGCTTGAGTGGGAATATTTGTGGTCGGTTCTAGATTAACTGGGCATGGTCTCAGATTTCATTAATATGGTTAACATATGCCAACCCTTCAGTAATTATGTTGACTCAGAAGAAATGTTCTTCTGGGTTTCCTGTTACTGGAGGTACTTGGGATGCCCTTGTTGTTCACTTTGTCTTTGGAAAATCGAGCAGAATATGTGGAAATTATGTGCACATCACTTCCCCCATATTATATTACTGCTTGCAGACAATGCCTCCCAATCCTTAACATACTGTATCTACATTTGATGATTTCGTTGTTCTAGCCATTTAAAAAATATAAACTGGTCAGTCTGCATTCCTACCATTAAATCTTGCAGGGGGGAAATCAACCTCCCTCAGATTAAACCAGTGTCCTATCTCAATATCACTTGTGTGGAAGTGTATATTGCTTGGATCCAAGTTAATCGCAATTAACTCAATGAGTAAATTATCACAAGGGAAAGATGTTGATTAGTGGTTATTACTTGTGAATTAAACTGAAAGAAATTGAGATGATGAAGTAATCTGATTTCTTGTAGTTGACTACAGTCTTTATTAGTCAAACCCCTTAGATGTACCACAAAAGTGTCTTTAAAATAAATCATCTTACATTTATTTTTTAAGTGCATTGTTTAATTAGTTTACTATAAATAAAACTATTAAATTGCATTTTAGATAAAGAGGTAGGATGTTGATTAAGCAATTGAGATCCCTACTGTAGATCACTGTTGATTAACAGGGTGAGTCCTTTATCTTTAAAACAGAGAAGGGTCACACTGTCAAGAACACTGATGAAGACAGTAGGCTAGAACATATGTTTCAATAAACAGAGCATAAACTTTGCAAATGACTTGAGTGCATACAGTTCATACTTCTTTTTAGGAGGGGTCTACACACCAATATGTCTACATTATAAATAAGCCTTTTTTCATTATTTTAGAAATCCTAGTTTGTATATATGTAACTAATAACTTTAAATATACAAATCTAGTATGTATAGTCTCCTCTTGTAACATTCTTTTAAGCAGGAAGTTTGCTCAAAAGTAAT